CTTACTTGGGGCTGTGTCGTATTCGGTCACTAACGGACATAACGAGTGGACTCTTCTTATCCTCTATATTCCTACAGTACGAGGAATTGTCCAAACGCCTGGTCCCAGAAGCCATTAACTTTTCTATCAACGCGGTCTTGCACCTAGCTCCGAGCTCTCTTAAAAATGTCACGTCAATACCCGGTTCATTTCCTTCCCCCGACTTCCATTCAGATCTGTGTGCACCCCTTGCGATCGACGTCAAGAAGTCCAAGCATCTTGACTTTCGCACACCAAACCTACGTCAGCTCCTGACTGACGAGAATTATCAGGAGCAGGATAAACTTGATCTCCTAGGTCTCGCTTTTCGCCTTCTGGACCGGTTTTCAGAAATGTACAAGAGCCTCGACGGTTTTATTGAGCTCTATCAACCAATTTTAGATCTCCTGACGAAACTCAGCATCACAAAACTTTCGGAGGGCGTTCGAGTGGGTCTACATCACGATCGTGCGAAAAGTGAATTAACCATAATTTAGACGCAAGCCTCCTCTTTGCAAGACAAGCTCACTAGGTTATTGAAGTTTGCTCGTCAAGCTCGTAGGCCTCTTCTACTTCAGGCCCACAAGCCAATTCCGATCCCGACATACATACCCAAGTTTGAGCCAAGGTCCTCCTCTTACCTGCGTCGGCAAGATCCAGATCATGAACGTAACGAGGCCTCGAAGCTTCACTACCAAGTCAAGCAGGAGAAGAAGGGAGCCATTCGTGAGCTCAGAAAGGATGCGAAGTTCTTGGCAGCTGTCGAGCACAAACAACAGGCTGAAAAGGACCGCGCTTACAAGGACCGTATGAATAAGGCGTTTTCAGTGTTGGAAGGCGAGAGAGCTGAACAAAAGGCCATGGATAGAGAGAAGGCGAAAGAAAAGCGTCGATCCGGACGTAAGTAGATTATTTGAATATATAAAAAGTCTACATAATTGGTGAAGGTGAACACTGACTACTGCAGTACTATCTTTTGCCCAGAGTTGCAAAATGGCCCCGAGTTGCAAATCACAATGTAGCACGCTCATCTTTCACTCATTTTCTTCACACAATGATTCTAGAGGAGGATTAATGCATAGCTTGCTGTATTTATTTTTTGTTACATGAAAAATGGACTGGAAGTGCTTGCGGCAGTGAAATACTGCTCAAAACATTCACTTTCCATCAGAGGGAAGCCATTACAAGCACGAAAAAATTCAGGAATTTTACTAGTGATTGACATTGCCTTCTAATGCTCCTCTGAATTTTTCTAACATCGGAACTGAGATGTGTTGAGAGATATAAATGTTGTACTATCAAGATGCATAGCGTGACAGGAGGAGTGAGCTTTTGTTCGGAGTCATAAAAGCACCACTCGGCAACTAGGCCAACACGTGCACACTAGCCTGGAAATAGTTTCGTTCGTCGGACTCGGAGAGTCAAAGCACCTAGGTTGCCCAATTAGTAAGCCTTATTATACTTGGTGATTACGTGCTTCACCAACTATTACATCAGGCATTTGACCAGAGTATGACAAGAATTTAGCTAGCTTTATTTAATGCATAATATCAAAAATATTTATCATAATTGTAAATCACATGATAAAGAAATAAATAGGCAGACTACAGTGGTGGGATCTCCCACTGCTATAATATTGACTGACCTATAGTACCAAGTTATGATCTACTAGCATATTGTTGTGTTATTGTCAAATCAATCTATGCCTACATAGGCAGCTTCCAATTGCAGAATATTTAATTACTGACAGTGTGCTGGAAAATTATACTAGATTATCATGCTGTAGCAAGATGCTGATTATCGCCCCAATATGTCTGGCTTTACATAGGCAGCTTCCCGTGGCAAGATCTGTAATTACCGACAGCATGCCAAGATACGACATTTAGTTGTAATACCACAACAAGTTGTTGATCTTCTACCAGAGACAGCTACTGTTATATGGGCAGCCTTTGTTGGTAGGATCCACAATTGCCGACTGTGTGCTTGGGCATGACACTTAATTATCATGCTGTAGCAAGATGCTGATTATCGCCCCAATATGTCTGGCTTTACATAGGCAGCTTCCCGTGGCAAGATCTGTAATTACTGACAGCATGCCAAGATACGACATTTAGTTGTAATACCACAACAAGTTGTTGATCTTCTACCAGAGACAGCTACTGTTATATGGGCAGCCTTTGTTGGTAGGATCCACAATTGCCGACTGTGTGCTTGAGCATGACACTTAATTATCATGCTGTAGCAAGATGCTGATTATCGCCCCAATATGTCTGGCTTTACATAGGCAGCTTCCCGTGGCAAGATCTGTAATTACTGACAGCATGCCAAGATACGACATCTAGTTGTAATATCACAACAAGTTGTTGTTATTCTACCAGAGACAGCTACTGTTATATGAGCAGCCTTTGTTGGTAGGATCCACAATTGCCGACTGTGTGCTTGGGCATGACACTTAATTATCATGCTGTAGCAAGATGCTGATTATCGCCCCAATATGTCTGGCTTTACATAGGCAGCTTCCCGTGGCAAGATCTGTAATTACTGACAGTGTGCCAAGATATGGCATCCAGTTATCATGCCACAACAAGTTGTTGATCTTCTACCAAAGATGGCTACTGTTATATGAGCAGCCTCTGGTAGCAGGATTTACAATTGCTGACTATGTGCTTGGGCATGACACTAGATTATCAAGGTGTAGCAAGGTGCTGATCATTCCCCCCATACGTCTAGCTTTACATGGGCAGCTTCTAATGGCAACATCCATAATTGCTGACACTGTGCCAGGGTTTGACATCCAGTTGTCATGCCACAACAAGTTGTTGATCCTCTATTAGAGACAGCTACCATTATATGGATAGCTTCTGGTGGCAGGATCTGTAATAGCTCAAAATGTGCTGGGATATGTTATTCGATTACCACACCATAGCAAGCTGTAGACCTTCCACCAAACACACCTTATGTTGCATGCGTGGCTTCTAACAACAAAATCCATCATTACTAACAATAAGTTAAGCTCTGACATTCAGTTATCTCGCTGCAGCAGGTTGGTGATATTTTTCTCAAGCATAGTACATACTTACATTGGGATTCTTATGTGATACAATGACAGAAGGATCAGCCAATTCATTCATAAGTGGCATTAGGATATCAAGTGTTAATACAGACACTGCGGTAACAACAACAATGAATTAAGTACTACCCATAGCGGCTCGTTCTCGAAGGACAGCACGTTTCTCCCGAATTTTAGATAGTGCGCTGTTTTTGCTTATACATCGCTGCGAAGAGGTAGAATTGGGGAAGATACGGCTGTAAAAGACATTGACTTGAGAGTTAGAGAGTGAAATTGATCACGAACCGTGTCCACCACGTCATCAAGTCAACTACTTCCTGACTTTCATCAGGATCTTCCAACAGATCCAGAATGCTGTGATAAAAGTTCTCGGAGTCTGTGACCGTGTTGGTACGCGAAAATACAGACGATGAGCTCAATGAAAACCAAATCTAAAGATTAATCAGTAGGCAGGCATAAATTGTCAAGTTTTCGACGCACCTGCGTGGCAATATAAGCCAAGGACCCTTTAGTTACAGACTTCATGCCGTGGAGATATGCATTTCCGGAGCGCGTTGCTTTTGGCTCCTTGTCCACGGAGCTCGGAGACGTAAATACGTGCTTGAAACCCTGCCGAAACAAAACCTTATAATGAGCGGTAAATTTATGGGCGAAAAACTTACAAAGATGAGTATCTCGTTCCTAAGTAAACCAGTCCAAGGATCTTCAGGGTCATAGACATACCCAGCATAAAGAAACATCGGCCACTGATCACCACGAACTGCAGTTTCACCGCTTTTGAGGCTCTGCTTGGTTCTGGCAAGTGATTTGATGGGTAGGTGATTGAATGGTAAAAATACTTACACTGGATTCGACCAGTCAAGGCCTGCCGGGCAGAGCAACGCGCCAGTCACTTCATGATTGAAGCCCCGGTCAGATTTGATATTTCGGGCAAGAGGCGGAATAAGTGGCTGTCCTCTAGGAACAAGCCATTCGAGGACGGCAGATTTAAGAGTCTTGGTGTCATCGCCTCACGCACCAGACGCTCCTTTACCCATCTGCCAGAAGATGATTGTGATGATGACACTACAGTATCAAAAACTTACCAGTTCTCCCACGTGAATGATGTCCTCTTCTTCGTCATTCGTCAGGCGATCTAGAAGACCAGGGTAGGAATCTATTAATTCCACGAATACCCTGTGTTCCCGGCGAACACTAAAAATTGAAAGGGTTATGAGGGGGTACTGGCATTGAAACGTCAAAATTACACTTACTCCGCTGGATAATCCTCGATTGAAGAGTCTCGTAGTTCTTCGAGTCGGAGTATACCTGCGGTCAGAAGGGCAGGATAGTTGCACATTGCAAACACAGTGCGGCCAAAATGTCGACCATGCAGAACAAGGGGATTCGATGAAGTCCTTTTTGAAGGAGAGTCAGAACGGTAGGATTATAATAAGTCAAACACAACCTACGCCTTTTTACACGGGCCCGAGCGGAGTGCCGAACCACTACGTTTGCGCGAAGGTTCAACAGACGGACGATTTTCATCATCACTCATGCTCAAGTTTAGGAAGAGGGAGGCTGAAATATCAATGGCTACATGAGACGGTTTATATGCCATCGGATAGGAAGTAGCGGAAAATTTAGCTTCCGTCCGCTGCAGATATCGTAACGGCATTGAAAGCGCGGTTCAATCGTTATTCATTTCGGAACTGAAAAAAAAATCGCTATCCTGGCACCGACAGTGGACGGGTGCATTGCCTCAGATGACAGCATCGTACGTTTATACATAAGTCAAGTCGGCACTGTTGACACAATTATCAGCATCATGCCGAGTAGCCCGCCGACGCTGGACTCACACTCTCGAAAAAGTTTGCGACAATGCTTCCACGTCGAAAAAAATGTCACGTTCAGGTGACTTCTTTAATATGACATGCGCTACAAGATTTTTGAGCAGATGAACCTTACAGGATTCAACTGTCCTCATCAGGTGAGCTGAGAGGCATCAACGACACAAAAGACATACAAGTCGGCATCAATTGCAAGTGAGTAAGTTGATACAGATCTACTAAAGAGACTTAGCGTACAGGCAAATTCGTCAAAACAGAAATCTGATCGATATGGGGACACAGACTACAGGTGAGATTTAATATTTTGATGCGGGAAATTTGTACTAAAAAATCACCTAGTCTCCAACGAACAATGCATAAGTGAAGAATCCGAGCTACAACTCGTCAAGGAACACTTGAGGAACGCGGAAAACAATATTGCTTACCTTTCAGATAGGGTGATGACCTACAGAGATAGATGGCTAGAAGAATACTACCGCGCCGATAACCTCGAACACCACATGCCCTCTAACATCCACGTGGCTTACCCCCCTCAAATTCCGTACGGTGCTCCCTCTCCTACGTTCTTTTCCAGAAGCTTGGACGGTGATGATGAGTATTAGAGCTGGAAGAGAATAATGGCTTTGAGTTGAGCAGATATCACATCCGAGTCTGAACCATTAAGTAAGAATTTAGGATAAGAGAACGCACCTATTTTCTAACAAACGAGAATGTAAGGCTTGTCCGTATATCACGTAGTTAATTGGTTTCAAGTTAGACGTCCAAACATCAAGGTTGAAGATATTCTCAAAATTCAATCCCGTGAGTAGTATGCAGCATTGATCGTCACCTGATGGGAAGGTCAGGTAAAGGCTTAACCAAGGCGTATACTAATGATTTACCTGGTCACCGTTGGGCCCCAAGCATCGGAAGAATCATCCTAGAACTCCGGAAAATACTAAGGTTGTTCAGGTCAACAACTGAATGCTGACTCGCACTTGGTGTCAGAAGTAAGACCTACCAGTATAAATCACATACACCCATGATGGCTATAATGGTTCGTGATGACCGGGCTCCAGACCATCTGGGTTGGAACAGTAAAACCCTTGTGGATAGGAGCCTATACTTGAGGACAATAATCGTGTCACTGACAAGAGGCCAAGTGTCTCATGAATGAGACTTGCCCGTAGATATTCGCGGCACCCTACTACACGTCATAGAACTCAATATGACAGTCATCTGTAAATGATTCGACTTACCAATAATTGCGCCATTCTTCTCCTGGGTCGTTAGCGTTCAAGCGACGACAATACTAGAGTGCAGCTCGCGAAAGTATTCTGCTTGTGTGCTGGTTCCTAGAAGTATTCATAGTCTTTACATCGCAATTGATGCTCAATTCAATCTAATGGGCATACTAAACGTGAGGATCACTTACTGATCGGAGGCCGCAACCTATCACATGTAAAGCTGCTATGATACAATGTAGTGCCCGCTGTGCTATGCCGCGGGGTTACGGGAGAATGTTGCAGCCCGGATGAACTGAATTCCGGAGGTGCAGGAAGTTTGTCATATCCCTCTGCCGGATCGGTCTGTGAGGGTTCGTTGGCGTCAGACTTTACATGACCAAGTTTATCACCTAACCTTGCAGGAGTGACAAGAATTGCTTCCGAGTTCGCGCAACACGGCCGTTCCGACGCTTCCACATAAGGAACGACTCCTGAGTTGAGGAAAATCATTATTATGTTCTGAAGTCCTCCGCTTTAGTAAAGACTTACGAAGTCTTTAGGCTCATAACCAGTCACTAAAGAACAGTCATCTCGATGTAGTACTAACTTCAACTAAATGATAACTAACTAACTAACTATATGTCCAACGCTTCAGATAAGAAAGCTTCTCTATGCTCGAGACTCAAGAATCGATATTCCAATTATATATATGCGATAATCGAACATCGAACACAGAAAATAAAAAATGACATAGAATAATAGTAATAATCAGGCATGTGGTAACGGTAACATATCAGCAATGTGAGATGGAGGTTGGAAAGAAATTCTCTGAAAGAAATAACGCAGATGATATAGTGAATGACAATTCAGACTCAGCCGGAACTCAGCTCACTTAGTAATCGGGCATTTCCAGGCTGGGTCTGAATACGTAGTCATTCAGTATATCAACTGTGTGGCGCTTGCCGTGGAAGTCTCTTTTCGACTTCGATCATACATGTGCTGTGATTATTATTAAATCGTATGGTTGTATTTCATTAGAGTAGTACTAGTACGTGTTAGTTCAATTTGAGGCTGTTGCGGCTGCATCTATAACTAGTATTACTATGTAGCATTGTGTGGGCAGTGCGAGGCTGCAGGACTTGGCAAAATTTAATGTACTCATTGTCCAAAATTGTGGTGGGGCGGGCGGGATGTGACAGTTTGTTTACCCGCGCCATCGGTCCACAATGACCACAAAAGCTCATTGTGTGCGCCGTGCATGGTGCACGGTCCATAACACTTCACACCGTCAGAAAGTATGTCCACAATTAGTCATTCACTATAAATTCTGATCACGCACATTCGTAGGTCTTCTTTCTACTCTCTCTATCTACATCGATACCTAGTATACTAGTCGCTAGAAAAACATAGAATAGACCTTTGAATAGACTAAGCTCAAGTTATCGTCACAGTATGTTATGTTTTGGCTTCCTTACAGGGCATTAATGATTTAGAGTACAGGCAGGATCATAGTAATCCGATTGATGTCTACTACTGCTGGTACTAAACGTGCCGCACCAAGTGATGATGCACTTGAACCCGCTTTGAAGCGCACGCGAAACAGAACTTATGAAAGTAAGTCATGACTCGTAATATAACCCGGGCCATCGTTATTGTCATAGCTAAGTATGAACATCATTATACAGGCACTTCTAATGTAGCGCCATCGCCGCTGGCGAATCGAGGCGCATGGCGCATTCTAGCTCAATTCCTCGAAACCGAAATGAGTTATAGTGAGATGGAAGAGAAACTCTCATTGTACCTCGGCGATCAATACTCTGCGGACGATTGGAAGGATGCCAAAACAACGCTTTTCTCTGGCGAAGACAATGTCGGAACATGTTTGAGAAATCTCGAACTCTTAAGGCAGAGGTACATGCCCCGTCGACCCCGCCCTGTAAGTGGTTTTTTTCACATCTACTGAATGCATACTAAAGAATTGTAGTGGAAGAATATGTATCTCGACATTGAAGCAAACGAGGGAGACAGTGAAGAGGAGGAAGAGGAAGATGGCGACTACGACACGCAGGATCAGGTTGACTCTTCTGCTCGATCGCCGAAGGTTACGTCCATTCCAGGACCATCAGCCAAGGATACGTTATCCAAAAAGATTGATGAGATCTACAACAACGCGACAAAGGTCTCCAGCTCCTCAAGAAGCCGCATCTCTTACAGAGCCGCCTGGTCCCCCGCGACGCTCGAGAGTCGAATGTATCTGCTGCATGTCCATAGTATGTCTATTGGTTCATCGTGTACTATGTTCCTCATCACTTCCTAGGAACTGCTACGGTTTATATTGCTGAATATCTTCATGGTAAAGGATTCCCCGTGACCGTGTCGCCTTGGTTGCCGGGGCAGCTCTATGTGGTCTCAGATAGCCCCAAAACCATTGCATCCTCCCTTCCGGCTTCGCATAAGCTCTCAGTAAAAGACTATCATCGCATCTCGGATGAAGAACGCGTCGCGGTGGAACACTCAACCATCAAATTTCCTAACCCTTCGTGGGTAAGAGTCAAATCTGGCATGTACAAGGGCGTCATAGGCTATGTCTTCGACCCAGACCAGTCGGACCTTTTTGTCGATGTCTTAGTCGTCACTCGAAAGTTTCCCTATCCAATGCCTGCGGGATCTGAAGCTCTGATCGACCATTCTCGCCTTCCAAAGGACAAGGAAGTTACCGATATCATTCGCAATGGCGAAATCATAGGATGCGCATACAAAGGACAGCGATACTACAGGGGACTGCTCCTTAAAAAATTCCACCGTTATCAACTAGAACTTGTTGCTTGCCCCCACGCTGATGATATTAGACTGCATCTGCAGTCAGGGTTTGACACACCCTTCGTCAAGAAATCTATCGTGGCGTTCTCCAAGCAGTTTCTGCGTGTGGGAGATGCGGTTAGGATCATCACGGGAGCAGTACCATCAGAGATTGGCATGGTCGTGTCAATAGACCATGGTTTTGGTGGCTCCGCATGCATCGAATTAACCCTCGACGGACATCGGGAAGAGCTGGAAGCTCGACTTGAGGACGTGGAGCGCGTTTTTTGGATCGGGGACGCGGTTCGGGTCGTAGCAGGTTCATACCTGGGTTTAGAAGGCCATGTCATTCAAATGGACAAGGATTTGTTTCACCTTTGCCAAGGGGTCTCCATGGAGGAGGTAAATCTTTTGTGCGAATAGAAAATCTACAACTAACGCTTGGTGCATAGGTGCAAGTTTCAAGATATTACTTGGATCGTCGTCACCAGACTTGCACGACACAGTCACATCTACCATTGTATCAACATTTTGAACCTCCCCCTGAGTCTCAATCAATAGAAATCGGAGATTATATAGAAGTTCTTGCGGGAGAACACATGGAGAAGCGGGGCGTCGTGACCTGGTCTTCTATTGGAGGAACTCAGCTGTGGTTCCAGGAAGAGTCTCCTCAGGCATTGACTTTACGTTCTATGGAGTACTATTCAGGACCTCCAAGTTTTCAGGTTCCTGTGGCATTTGTCAAGCGGACGCGCCTACCCCAGACAGTTAAATTTACCAAGGAAAAAGGTTATGACCTCAAGCCTGGAGATGTCGTAAGGGTCGCACGTGGGCCGGAGTATCAGGCGAAAGGGATCGTGCAGAGCATTGACTTCCCAAAGGCTCGCCTAACGCTACTTTCTGAGAGTGATCGCTCGCTTGTAAGTGAAATTCAACTTGACACAGGCATATCTGACTTGGAACAGATCGACGTCCCAATTGGATTTGTGACGAAAATACTCAACGTGTCCTTGGATTCTTTCAACAACGTCATCGGCCAAGAAGTGTTCGTGGTTAGAGGTGGCCGAAAGGGTTTCCGAGCCACGTTGTATGGCATTGGCGGTGAGAATTGCACTGTTGCTATCAATGGGCAGGCGCGCACCACACTCAAATGGCAAGACGTTGTAACCAAGTGAGCAGCGCACATACTGTCCTCGTCATTTAGTAATTTTTCATTGCTGTTCAGGTACGGAATGAGATTGAATGGTCTCATGCTAGGAGAATCGGACTTAATAGCATTCTGTGACATGCGAAAAAGATCTTACTTGGCATTACAACCACGAAGATGCATCACGCCCCCTCCTGTCCCGCTGGCAGTTTCCTCCAACTCGTCTAATTCTATAAGCGCAGCTCACAATCCATCATCATCCAATTGGACTGCCTGGAATCTCACACAGGATATCGATGGTGCGAACTTGAATGATCCGTCATCGGGCGTCGATCTCAGCTCATCGACATCCGACCCATGGACTATTGATGCACAGGACATTCAGGATGGCATAGATGCTAGAGCGGAGCAGCTCAAAGACAATGGTGAGTCCGCCCCGGAGGTATCGCAACAACTTTTGCTCATTTTATTATAGGGCCTCTACCTTGGTTCATGAGCAAGGAGTTTTCTTCGCTATTCCTTACATATCACGCGATGTTTACAGTTTCGCCGAGCTTTGATCACGCCAAGTTTCACAAACGATTCGTATCATCAGCCTGTCCTGATCCATTCTGCGGTGCGAACGGACCCGCACCCGAAGGTTGTGTTGCAGTATCTTGTACATCCAGTCGTGCAGGTGCTGCGCTTGAACATTACCATATCCCTGCCAAGTACCTGAGCCCAGCTCCTCCACGAAAAAGAAAACAAGAATGTTTCATTATAGACGGCGATTATTACGGTCAGATTCTGACTATTTCACAATGTAGTGTTGGTAAAAAAACTGCTCAGTTTACTACTAATGATTCCATTACGATTACCTTACGTTTTGATCAGATATGTCTCGTGCAGCGTGCACAAAATACCATGTAGTACCCATTGTACTATACATCAATTCAACTTTTGGACACTGCGATTCTTATCTGCGTGGTAGTTCATTAATCCAGCCCTTTTCAGGTCATTCAAAGTGGCCATTATGATCATTTGACAACAATGTATTTGTATATCTAACATCCAAAAGAACGGAACATTTGCCAGTGATCCTGCAGATGCAATTCAAGTTCGTCTGACTCCCGTGTGAGGGGACTTTAGAGTGATACTACGCGGTCGTGGATACTAGTACTAATAGAGACTCTACTAGAATAAAGTGCCAGTCAGAATGCCTGCACAAGAACCCTTCCCCGAAAAAGCATTGGAAAAATAATACGGATTTGAACTACTAGTACTAGTAAAAGACTCGGACCCTCATAGATTTGAGTTGATGTCACTGTGACAGGGTGTGACGTTTTGTTGACGATCGTGTACCTACTAGGCACTACACCCGTCGACTCTCGAAAACCTATGGTAGAGCCCAAAAATGGTCAAGGTGTCAATGAGCCCTTAGATATATTTTTCTCACTATCTGTGTGAGAGATGTGGTTTAGAGCTGGGAAGCAGCCTATACAAGATATATCATATATAGCAGCGTTCTGAAAAAGTAAACAAAAATTCAAAATGGAACAGGGGAGGTTCGAACTCAGGCATTCCACTTGGCACATTCTAAGTTCACAACAGAGTCATACCGCTAAGCTATCAGTGCTTGTTAAACTGCTGTTCTTAATAGTATATCATCACCTCTAGGTCATCTCTTCACAAATTTCGCCAAGTCTTGCAGTGCAGGCATCTTGATCAGTGTAATATCTACCATACACAAAGCAGTGTTTCAGAAATTCAAGTTCTATATGATGCTATTTGCATTCAGTATGCTCAGGGAAATGGAACTTGGTGTGTTTTGTGTAGGATACACATAGTGAATCCTAGCTAGGATGTTCATGTGAGCATTTTCATACATATATGTCAGAAATTTCCTAATTAGGTTTCGTCACCTTGTAACGTGTTGCAATAATCCAATGACAAATTGAGGTCCCAATAGGTTGCAATAAAAGAGTGTGACATTACATTTATGTTACATTCCACATTACAATATTGAGTTTATGTCACAACAGTGATTCCAATCAGGTTTCAACCAAGTTTGCAATATTGACCGTCGGCTGCAACTGTCCAAGTTGATTTTCTGGTACCTTGAGATCTAGATTCCAAGGCTTATCTAAATATCCCAACTGGGTCTCAACGACTTTGGAATACAAACAGGCAGGTTTCATTCTAATTGAAATATAATTGAGAGCAAGTAAATTCAATTACAAACCGGCACCATCCTCAACAAAACATATCAAATGATACCTACATGTAAGTAGCAATCTGTAGGTAGCGGTCCTACTTCTTCTGAGTTCGCTTTAGTCGGCCTGCAGCCTGCTCACTCGCTGGTCCACTAGATACAGGTGCCAGCATCCCTGCCTTCCTTCCTCGCCCCCGACAACCAGAAGATGGGGCTGTCACTACCACTGGTACATCACCAGGTACTCCAGGAACCTCTGAATCAACAGCCATCACTGAAGGTACAGAGTCTTCATAGGCTGCAGTGGCAGCAGCCGCACCTGCAAATTCAGATGCCACAGGTGGTCCAGGGGCTGGAATAGCCGGCAAGAGGGTTGCAGGATTGAGAGTGGTGGTAGCATTTGCAGGGACAAGCACCACAATGGCTGGTGCTAAAGGGACAATGACCGGTGCTGAAGGAGCGATCATAGGTGTAGTAGGCATGGCCGGTCCAGGAATGTCATTGACAGGGTTGTCATTGGTAGTCATTGGTCCAGGAAAGTCGTCAGATTCCTTATGCCCCGCATTTGTGATGGCCAAACACATCAGATCAGAGGTAAAAACCTTCAGTGTCAGATGTTGTGATATTGGAAGTTGAGGATGATTGCCAGATGTAGGCATCAATCTTTTTGCGGATTGCACAAATATGAGGCTGGTCCTAAAGAGTTACCCACAGCTGCTTGTAGGCCATAAACATGGCAGCATATGGTAGCTGAGACTTCGCACCAACTCCAGCTTTCCTGAATAAAGTGTCGGAAGAAAGGATGAAGATTAACTAGAGAATAATATTAGTCAGATGCTAATCCAGAGGACTGATGATAGCAGAAATAGAACTTACTGCGACCCAACCCCATGCAAGAAGGCCAGGAGTACAGGACATTGTGCCCCATTTTCGAGCATTGCACTTAGTGCGTGGCCAGCCAGAAACATCTACTAGTGAATTCTTTCTGAACATCATGATCCTAATCGCCTATGTAGATTCATTAGCACAAGAATGAAGTGAAGCTTAAAATTACCTTCATGAGTTGTTCCCAGTTACCAAAAACTGTGGACATTGTGGGGTCCATCTCTTGATTTGTGAAAAGGATGGGCGGAAACTTTGATGGCAAAGAGCGGCCACCAGCAGTGCCTGATCCAAGCATCTTCTGGATCTCAGGGATGGTATCCTGCTTCATGAAACTCAGGTCAAAGTAGGACGAATCCAGACCAAAGATGTGCCCTGCCATCAAGCGTAGTTTGCCGATCTCACTGGAGTGTTCACCTTCGAGATGCTGCTCTAGCTGCAATATTCAAATTAGATATCAATTAGTATTTGGTGGGATGGTGAAGCATATAAACTAACGTACCAATGATTGAAAATGAGAAGTTGGTATGAAATGATGGAGGTGATCTGGTAGAAGCGAATACAACTCTGTCACAAGGCAAAGTTCTTTGGCACCCTTGGTTGAGTAATGACTAGGGGATATGATGACGGGCGGAGGGTTTGGCACTGGCAATCTGAGAATGTGATGCTCAGGTGGGAACATCTCAGCAATAATACCATATTTGCAAGCAAAGGTTGAGAGCTCGATGTCAAAGGCCTTCAGCTCGTCAGGAACTTGCGCACTCGAACATCTATGTTGATTGGACGCCAAGACTTTGTTTTTCTCGCCCAGCATCCAATTATTATTCTTGAGAGACTGGTTTTCGAGTTGCAGGCACCAAATGATCTTGAGATGCACAACATTAGAGCTACTAAATCATAGTGAGCGAAGTAAGGCATCATTACCTCCATGTCTCCACCCTGCAAAGAAGCCAATGACTGAGTGGTAATTGATGTGGTCCCTGCCACATAAGATGACAGTACATCTGATTCAGATGCATCATCATACTCTAACTCAGACTCCGAGTCATGGTGCGCAATGGGATGCTGAGGCATCACAACAAGTTGTAAGGTCAAGTAAAACATGGTGTGAAAAATATCAATGGACCCACCACAATTTATAGTCAATCTTGGCTGTGCAACTTGGACCAAACACGAGGAAAGAAAACACGAGGAAAATTACATTGTGAATGATAGCCCTGACATTTAATTAAAATCAGCATGCGGGTGATGTCAATATGACACGAGGTAACTTACCTGTGTGGCAGTTGCGTTCTCAGAGGAGCTGATTCATGGCAAAGGTGTTGAGTAATAGCATTGTCGGCAAGACCTGCTCTTGACATAATAAAGAAGATTGGACAGCTGCCAGGCGTCCAATTTAAACAATGACTTACCTGCAAATTGTGCTTCGATGGTGGTGGTACTGGCACAGGCTCGTGTTTTGGTATACCTGGAGATGATGGAGCTGAGACAATGTGTGCCATACAATCCTCCATACCCGGTGGTGTTGGGGGTGATGGCCATATGAAGGCGAAGGTGTGGGGGCCAAAGTGGCTGGAGGAGGCGGGAAGGGATTTGTGGTAGGTGGAGGGTTTGTGGGGCTACAATACTCCAGGATTTGTTGGAGTAAGTGTCATCACAGATAACCTTGGATGCGAGCATGAAAGCGGATATGAAAAGACAGTCACCCAAAGATCCTCAAGCAGTGGGGAAGCGCACTTTGAGTTGCTGAAGGAGGACGAGGGCAGTGAAGGTTACGGAAGATGAAGGGGGGTACTCTGGACAAGCAAACAGATGCATAATGAAGCGGTCAAATAACTGGGAAACCTGCTCATGACCATAGAATGGGTCAGAATGTCTTGTCATGGGTTGAGTGGACTGAGGCTTATTAGGTGGTGCCTATGTATGTATGATAAGGATATGAATATGACAAGTGGCTACTAAAAACTGACCGATGGTTCAGGATGATAGCCCATTCGCAAATGAGAAACACTCTGGGTATTCTGAAATGGCGAAGGGTGGGTAGGTATTGTAGGACCGTGTAATACAGCAGCCATAGTGATGGATGATGGTGAGTGGAACGGGCGGTGTGGTGTCGCAAAGGTGATCTGAAAGTGCAAGTGTGTCAGAGTTTGGTAGTTTTAATTAGTTAAAAGGGGACAGGAAAGAATGATGGGGTATATAATTTGAATTAGGGCAGTGTGAAAGCAAAGAAGGAAAATGAATGGAACCAAAACCATGAGCCTGGACCTGGGATATGAAGATAGGCAATTGGCTTCAGATTAAGATGCAGAAGCTGCAACTTGGTTACAACAGTAAACTCAACCAAACAACTTAGCAAGAAATGCAATCAAATGCTGACATAATCACATTGACAATCCATTGAAACACACCTGAACATCAGTTTCAGAACGTTAGTGGTATTTATATTAGTGTAGGGAATAGTGATGTGCACGGCCCGGCTTGGCCTGAAAGCCGCGGCTTCGGCCTGGCTTCAGACGGCCTTGGCTTTCAAAAACTGCGGGCCAGGCCAAAGCCGTCAATGACGGCTTGGCTTTGGCCTGGCTCGGCCTGAGCTGCAGCCCGAGCACTGAAAACAGAAAATCGTAGACTTACAAACATATCTTGCACTTTCAATGCTTTTGAACCTTGCCATTAGTTCCTGCATGTTTGAACGTTGCGCAAAAAAACACATCGAGATCGGCAGTTTTGCTTTCGTGTGTTGGAGCTGTGTCTGCAATAGGTTGGACATTGACATTGATCGGAATACCATCATTGTCGGCTAAATCATCAACCGGCGCAGCTCATTTGCGCGACTGTTTCGCTGCCAAAAGTTTGGTATCAGTTGTATGATTCACGACTCAGATGGCAAATACACTTACGTCATGGATTGATGCGCGCATCTTCACGTTCCTCACCACCAGACTCATTGTCAAGAATTTCTTGAACACGAGTCCTCTTACCCTTTTCGAGTGCAGCCAAGCTTGAACCTCATGGTGCAGTGTCACCTGGAGGTGAATTCAGGGATATGCTGGGGGTGGTTTGATCAGCACCAGCGTTGGAAGCATGTCGAGAATCAGGCAACTTCGCAGCCTCTGCTGCATGAAAGGCATTGATAGCCTTGGTTTGTGATGGGAGAGCCGCCTTCTCAGAATGTTGGAGAAGGGTGGCGGTAGGCTTGGTTTGGCGGACCGGCCGGTGTGCACAACATTTGTCATCGCTGTCTGTGTGGACAGTTCCAACCATCAGAGACAAGTAGTGAGAGGCAGATATAAAAAATAAAAATTACCATCACAAATGCATGCCTTTTGTCTGAAAACGTATGTGATGGTTGTCGCCAAGCTTGCGATTTGAAGTTGCAAGAAACTTGCAAAGGAGGGCATATTACTGAAAATGATGAGTGTGCTATCTGCCAACACTGTGACAAGTGAGTTGTGTCGAGCTTGGAAAGAATGTCTGCAACTCACTGTGATTCTTACCACATGAACATGCACACAATGTAAGTGATCGAAAAGCTAAAATGAGACAGAAGTCAGATTTTCAATCAATGATCGTCAAACAGTTTGAGCTTGGGTGCTGCAGGCACAGTTGACTATAAGCCGAGGCCTGAGCCGGCGGCTTTGGCCTTTCATATTCCCAGGCTAGGCCAAAGCTGTCACCAGGCCATGACTTTGGCTCAGCTCGGTGTAGAAACAACAATACAATGAGGAACAAAAGAAGCTCCTGACTGTATCTGTAAAAGTTGTAAGGTCGCGCGCTGCCTAGTCTGCGTTACTTGAGAAGCAAGTGCGTTCGACCCTATAGGGGAAGTGAGTGCAGCAAGGATCTAGAAGTGTGCGCTTCAGCGAAGCGCGAGAAAGCGCAGGAGCGCGCAAGGTACAAAGGCGCGGGAACGCGCGCGCGTATTAGCGCGAAGCGCGGGAAAGTGCGCGCGCGTATGCGGAAATGAGAAACTAAGCTTAAGTAGTGATATAAAGCAAGATAAGAGATATAAGAGTGCAAAATGTAAAGGAATAGCTTTCTACTATATTCTGCTAAGTAGTAAGTGGGTAGTAACTAGTAAGTGAAAAGTAGGAAAAGTAGGTAAAGTGTAGTATGTACTGCTGGCGCTTATATAGCGCGCCTAAGCGCGGTCATGCGGAGCCGAAGCGCTACCGAGTAGGTATGTAAGGATATATATGAGTGAGAAACTATGATAAAAATAAAGGTGGAACTATGCTAATAAAGGAAATGGAAATATATGTACTAGGAAGCTTGGTGGACAGTGGATGGATGCATCTGAATGGCTGGCGCTATAGGGCGCGCAAGCGCAGGAACGCGCGCGCGCGTATACATCGCGAAGCGCGGGAATGGTGCGCGCATGGCGCGCGTTGCGTGGGAAAGCTGCGCGTCATATAGAGATAGCTGTGGGTAGCGCACAGAATGACGCTGCGAGTTTGTGCTGTATACTTCCTAGTGAAACCTGCCATATCACACCATGAGACACACGAGTCTCTACATCTCCCAGGGACTTAAATTCTGAGTGTCCCCACTCAGCGCGCGCGTGGTGAGGATTTTGCGTGAGAGTATGCAAGTGCGATGCTTGTACGATGCTTTGGTTGTTGGGTGATGAATGTGCGAGTGCAGGAATTATCGCGTGATATGCAATGTATGCGAAAGCGCAGGCGCGCGCAAGGTGCAAAGGCGTGGGAAGGTGCGCGCGCATGGTATGCGCGAGGCGCGAGAATGTGCGCGCGCTATGCATGAAGGCGCGGGAATGAAGCGTAGCATGGCAAATTGCAAGGGTGACTCTGGTGTGAATAGTGTTCCATGGGTGTGAGGTGATGATGCAAGGGTGATATGGATGTGGTGTGCGAAGCGTGAGCGAGACGCGCATGTACAGCGTGAAGCGCGGGAAAGCGCGCGCGCACAAGGCACGAGAAAGCGCATGAGTGTCGCGTGTTTTGTATTGTGCGTATGATACGAAGTGGCGTGGTCCAAGAGCGATCCAATCCATGTCCAGACCAAGTCCTGCTAGGCGCGCTAAATATTAGGTGGTAAGGTTTGAACAGTGTGAGTAAAACTATATGTGAAAATGCGAAGGAAAAAATGGTAAACTTTGCGGATGTCCTATCCGACTTGTCTTCTTCGTGCGGCTGTCAACATCTACACCTTCTTATGAGCGAGGCGCGAGAAGTGCGCATGTGCGCGCGCGCGCGAGGCGTATGGGCGCGGGAGGTTTGCGCATATGTGCGCGTGAGCGTGGGAAGACTGCGCGCATATGTGCGTGTTCTAAGGTAAAAAGGGCATGGTGCCGCGTCATGTGTGCGAAGAGAAAATAATACTATTGAGCTAGGCGGGCACAATCTAAGGTTGTTTTCTTGTTTTTGGCGACTCCTATGTGTATATATATCAGTAAGTTATTAGTTCTTTGGATGGCGTTATGATGAGAGAAAATAAAATGAAAGAGCGCTGGACGAAACCCAGGGTAAAACGAATGGTATCCTATGAAACAGCGATGGTATACGTTGTTCTTTGATGCGCAGCTGAGGCGCTTGATCCTCCTCCTTGAGCGCGTGTGAGTGCGCGTAATAGCGCACTTCGCGTCTCTTGTGAGCTAACACGTTACCCAAGGTAGGGTTGGAATTTGTGAGGCTGGCGCACTTGGGGGGGGCTTGTAACTGGCAGAATGAATTCCTGCACAACGCGCTGCAGGTTGAAGGCGTGCCAATGGGAGGCGCAGCAAGGGGTGTAGAGGCGCCCTACAAGCTGATAGGATGCGCGCGATGTGCGCGCCTTGGCGCAATTTCGCGCGAATTTGATTATATTGGCCGAACACGCGAGGAACGGCCATTTCTCTGCAAATTCATTAGCGAGAGACATGTATAGTGAAGAATTAGGCGCAAATGTTGCGCCAATGGGCTGTAAGGGTGGTATATCAAGGCGCAATAGGCGCATAGGTGAAGGAGAATAGTGCGCATCAAGGCGCGCAGGAACGAAATTGACATGGTAAGCAAAAGTGCGAAGAATGCGAATAAATGTGCGAAGTGCGAAGTTAAAGGTGATGATAGGGGGGTTAGGCGCATATGTATGTGTCAGGCGCGCGCCTATGTCGCGCCTGGATATCTGATTGGAATATACCTTGTGTTGAATGACAGAAATGAAATTTAAAAGGGGAGAAGCGATAGAAATGCGGTAGCGTGAAAACTCTGCTAAATTTATGAGTGCACGAGGCACGGGAACGCGCGCGCATATTGCGCGATGCGCGTGATCATGGCGCATGAACAAGGGGTGGTGAGAAGATGAAATTAAAGTGTTTGGAATCATCATATAGCTCCTTAAGAGCTTCAAACATGAAAAGGACAAAAAGCGCGAAACAAGATGAGGGTAAATATACACTGCCTCTAGGCGCGCGCATTGCGCGTCCTTAGGCGCAATATGGTGCACCTGAGACGCGCCAGGGTCGCCTGAGACATGCTCTGCTTGATGGTTAGGTGGTGTGATGCATGGATGTTTTACCGGTGCGCGGTAGTCACTAGAAGCAAAGAGCGCGATGTGCGCGTGATCGTTAGTGACAAATGGAATTACCAGAGACAAACTCTGGTTGATGCAAGATGCGACTTGAGCCTCCGGTGTGGCAGAAGGCTCCTCTATAGGCGCGCTAAGGTGCAATAGATGTTTAGGGTCATCCCTGACCTCTAATGATGCGAGCAGTGATGGTGATGGTGCGATTGGCGAGGTTTCTTCCTTAAGCGATGCGATAGCGAGGGGCGAGCGTGTTTCTAGCGGTGCATTAGTGTGCAATAGATGTTTAGAGTCATCCCTGACTAATGGCGAGGCTATAGCGATAGGCGCGTGCGATGCGATAGCGATAGGTGCGCGTGTTTCAACTGGCGCGTTAGTGTGCAATAGATGTTTAGAGTCATCCCTGACTTCTAATGATGCGATTGATGGTGATGATGATGCGGATTGTGAAGGAGATGGTGCTGATGAAGATGATGGTGAAGAGGCGCCTGCAGTGCGCTTCTGGTTGCGCTTTGTGAGCGCGCGCTTGAGTTCGTGATCTAAAGTGGTGCATTCTGGTGTGGCTTTGCATGCTGGCGCAGTTGATGGTTGAGGTGCGCGTAAATCGCGTGAAGGCGCGGGAAAGGCGCGCGTGTGAGGCGCAAGAATAGGAACTGGTGGCCTTTTGTCAAGTGCAACTTCTGAGGGTGCGCAATAGAAGAGTCCTGCTGTCGCATTAGTACTGGTGGTCGTATCCTGGGTTGCGTGGCTCGCGTGATAGCGATCTTGGCACTTAGCCACTGGTGCGCTAACTGGCGTGTTTGGCGCTATAGTGGGCGCGCTAATTGGTGCGCTTACTGGTGCGCTTGGCGCGGGAAAAGCGCGCCCAGATAATAGGAACTGCGCAGCTGCAAAGACGTCCATAAATGGATATGGGTCGTATGGGTGGTGGTCAGGGAACTTGATCATAAGGCGCAAGCGGATTTGCGCCTGAGCATCGCTAGGGATTCCTTCCATGAATAAGCGGTCGCGTTCGGCCTTTCCAATACGGTCTTCATCCATGAGTGGCTGCATAATCTTCCTGAATGCGCGCAGGTAATTGCTTAGTTCTGTGCAAGAAGACATTGGTTTGTTAGCGTATTCGCGCACGATGGCGCGCAAGTCTGCGAGCGCATAGCGTCTTTTACCATCCCATCCAGGATACATTACCTTCACCTCATCTAAAAAGGCGCTGTAATTATCTACTGCCGCTTCTGGCATGCCTCCCCATAGTTCTCGATCATCGCGCGCAAGGTAGCGGATGATACCTTTGATGCGGTCAAGTCCTTGGAGTCCTGCTTCATCAGCAAGCTGCTCATAGGTGTCAATAAACTCGGCCAGGTTGTCTGTAGTGCCATCGAACTTGGGCGCGTTTGCTGTGCCGCGGATGGGCATTCTATAAGGCATTGCAGCGTGAAAAAGCGCAGGCGCGCGCGAGGCGTATCACAGGTGCGCGCGTGAGGCGCAGAGGCGTGGGAAAGCGCGCGCGCAAGGCGCGAAAATGCGTAACTAAAAATTGGTTAGCTTTTGAATATGTAAAGAGATTGACCTTTATGTGTTAAATAGCGTGAAGTGCGAAGATGCGCAAAACTAGATCTTGCTGACTGCTCCCCTCGCGGTGGGCTCCAGTTGTAGAAACAACAATACAATGAGGAACAAAAGAAGCTCCTGACTGTATCTGTAAAAGTTGTAAGGTCGCGCGCTGCCTAGTCTGCGTTACTTGAGAAGCAAGTGCGTTCGACCCTATAGGGGAAGTGAGTGCAGCAAGGATCTAGAAGTGTGCGCTTCAGCGAAGCGCGAGAAAGCGCAGGAGCGCGCAAGGTACAAAGGCGCGGGAACGCGCGCGCGTATTAGCGCGAAGCGCGGGAAAGTGCGCGCGCGTATGCGGAAATGAGAAACTAAGCTTAAGTAGTGATATAAAGCAAGATAAGAGATATAAGAGTGCAAAATGTAAAGGAATAGCTTTCTACTATATTCTGCTAAGTAGTAAGTGGGTAGTAACTAGTAAGTGAAAAGTAGGAAAAGTAGGTAAAGTGTAGTATGTACTGCTGGCGCTTATATAGCGCGCCTAAGCGCGGTCATGCGGAGCCGAAGCGCTACCGAGTAGGTATGTAAGGATATATATGAGTGAGAAACTATGATAAAAATAAAGGTGGAACTATGCTAATAAAGGAAATGGAAATATATGTACTAGGAAGCTTGGTGGACAGTGGATGGATGCATCTGAATGGCTGGCGCTATAGGGCGCGCAAGCGCAGGAACGCGCGCGCGCGTATACATCGCGAAGCGCGGGAATGGTGCGCGCATGGCGCGCGTTGCGTGGGAAAGCTGCGCGTCATATAGAGATAGCTGTGGGTAGCGCACAGAATGACGCTGCGAGTTTGTGCTGTATACTTCCTAGTGAAACCTGCCATATCACACCATGAGACACACGAGTCTCTACATTGGCTTGGCCTATTCAGGCCCGGCTTGGCCTGGCCCATGGCCTGAAGCCGGGCCATGCACATCACTAGTAGGGAAAGTGCATAATTCAGAATACATGAAATTAGAATACCCCTTGAGCTAGCTCAACTCTGAGCTGAATTTCCGGCGCCTGGACCTGCAACTATTCCCCAGGATCACATCACCAACAGTAAGTAGCAATATTAGGTGCCAAAGCGGCTGGAGGAGGCAGGAAGGGATTTGTGGTAGGTGGAGGGGTTGTCCTGGACGAGGAGGGAAGGATATAAGTTGGGTAAGGTCCTCGACCTATGAAATCCTTCTTGACCATGTCCTTGCTCCAGATACTGACACATCTCGCACTCCATCTGGTTAATGATTCCACAACCTTTCCCAAGGACATCAAAGAAATTTCAATGATACAAAGTAAGCACTCACAAGAACGAACACATCAGCATGAAGACCCTCCCATAGGCCAAGGACCATGATGGTGCAGTGGACACGCCTGAGGAAAGATCCAGCTTTCTTGCGCTTCATGTCATGATGGTTATGGTGGTGTAATCCAGCTTCATGGTGGTGATGGTGAGATTCAGCTTCATGATAGTGATGGACCTGCAAGACATACCCATCAGGAAGAAGCTCCTTGATATCGCCCAAATTTTCCTTCTCAGAGGAACTGGCAGGGATGTTTGGTGTAACAAGTTGCGCAAACAAGGGACTAGGTCCAGGATTCAGAAGCATAAGCATGATCATGCAGATGGTCCAACAGCGCAATCATGGCTGGGACGAGCTGGGATCAGAGGGCTGCTTTATTACCTGACATGAGGCGGGCCATTGTGACACAGCATGGACCCTCTGAATCTGAATCAATGAGTTAGTAACAGGTGCTGCGCATCATAAGATAGAAGAAGACTGTAATAGTAATAAGAAATAAATGAAATTGTCCTAATAATGAGGACCGACATTGCTAATAGTCGAAGGCAGATGCAGGGAAATAAGGAGGTTGGAAGTAAGAGTCACTGGCTGCGGATGTCCTGCATTTGAAGGAACATATCTGTATCAATAGTGTCAACAATTAAAAACTTGTCAGGTCTGCTGACATCCTCTACTATCATACAACCCTGAACAATTGAGTGAACTGAGAAAAACTCTGCAGAAGCCCTAGGCTTTCTCTTAACGTGCAAAACTGAGGGTCTTTGTCCTTTCGTGGACAAATGCCAACCAGTCGATCATATGGTCGAACAAGTGTGACAGGATATTGAACATCCCCTACTGTGCAGGTGAAAATCAACACTAGTTTGCCAAAGATGATGCCAGTGTCGGTCTGCAAGATGATGCAATCATAGTGCGGTGAGCCATGAAACATCGGAGTGTATCGAAGGTAGTCTGTGGATACTTGCCAGTCAACAAGCGACTCAAAATTGACTTTAAGGAATCAATATTCCACGATCTAATTCAAAAGGACTCAGAGTAAGACATATCATATCATTTCGGAGCTGCAAACATCATCAACTCACTATGTCACTCGCAGCGAGTTGAATCTGTCGTCCGGTATGCTGTTGGCAGCAAACGCACAGTTCAGAAAGTCGTTTAGCTTGATCCGAAATCTCTCAAATGCTGGATTACCCTGACTACCTGCCTCGATGTGTGTGAATGACATTGCCACCTGCCTCGATGTGTGTGAATGACATTGCCACCTGCTTTAAGCCAAGACTGAAATGTTGTGCATCAGTCGGTTCCATCGAGTCAACATCAATATCATCGGTCTCCTGGGGTGCAGTATCGGGTCAGTCTTCTGAGTTGGATTTGCTGAGATTCTGAGTGTCAAGGTGATCCAACTTGTTGCAAATGTATTCCACAATCAAGCTGTCATGGTTGTATCGGAGGATCTTAAATTTTTAATTGTTAGTCATATATCAGAGCTCACTTCGCATATATGCAGACTCAGATTCAGAAGTCACTTACCTGTTCAGCGAAGTTTTTGGAATTTGTACGATCTTGATAGGCATCTTTCAATGGGCCATGCATTTTCTTATTCGGCTTGGTGCTGTAGTTTTGAGAAACACCTTTTGCCTCAATATCATCAAAGAGATGGGCAGAAAGATGTTTCTTGAGGAAATTCCAGGACTTCTTGGAAATCTCTGCTGTATCCTCAATGTATTTCTGACCATACAATTGGATTCATCACAATAAATTAAAACTAGACTAGGGATATGTACATCCATCAATTCAGTGAGCTTTGACAATGCTTCCCGGCCATTTTTGATGGTATCTTCAGTATGGACTTCTAACGAAGCATACATATTAAACTCTACATAGTTTCGGATACAGCAGAGCAGGAGATATGCCTCTGGATCCGTATCATGGTCAAATACATTATGCGCTGCAACTACAATAAGCTAAAAAAATGTGAATGATATATCAAAGTAAACGATCTAGGAGACTCACCTTAGAGATGTCTTCATATTTTGTTCCATCAGAGAACGATACTGGTATAACCTGATCAAAGTGATTCAGGTTTCGCCAATGCGGAATTGATTGAAAGCTGACAATATAATTGAAAACCTACATAAGTACAGCAGAAAAATGACTCACAAGCTGTCAATCTGGACATCAGCCTGTCGACCCAAACATTCAACCCATTTTTGCAATTCAGGTCACTTGTGATCACTGAACAATCTCTTGTCATTGAAGTGGAGTTTATCATGCGATAGAGCCCTGTGAACGTCGGTGTGCTCCAGAATGCCAAATGAACTCTGAAAATGAAAATAAAAAGAGTAATAATAGACTGAGTGAGATAAACATAAAGATAAGAGCAAGACTTACATCGACATCATGGAGGCTCTGAGAACTCAAGATCTGCTCTCTTGCCTCCAATGTAGTAGATTCTCACGCTCAAGCAAGTAATTCCTTGGTTCCTGTGCATGTGCGGAGAGGATATACCTTGAGAGTATTTGAAAGCTCATCACAAGGTACTAGACAGATAGGACAAGGAAATTTGCCCATCAAACCATGAATCAATGCCATTACAGCCCTACAACAGTGAACACATTCAGATGTCAGAGATATCTAATGGTACCTCAGGAGCTAGAAATACATGTACTGTTCTTCATAGTCTGCAGATAGTATTAGTACAATTGGATAGAAGACACGAATAAGATCATCCCAGCATTTTACGGAAGAACCAAACCTCGATAGTGGCACCAGACAGTCAAGAATCTTCATAAACGAGGCATGCCATACCACATTCTTGAAGTTGACAAAGGTGGGCTTTCCTGAATGTTTCTTATCTTCCTTTACCTGTCCTGAGTGTTAATAATGAGACCATCAGTAGTAAGAAAAAGTAGAACAAACAATAGGCAGCCAACCAACAACGCGCCCCCCACCCAAGCCTTCTCCATTGTGAATCGCAATAGGAAGATTAGCACAGCGAGTGACTACAGGGTAGCCTTTTGACCGTATGATGACACTTTTGCTTTGTTGGCATATAAAATGAAAGCAAGAGGTTTTGCATCTGGTGGGATTTTTGACTATGATGATATTCAGTTGGTATATACAGTGCAGATGCTTAACGTGATATTAATAAGAGCGTGACCTACCTGATACTCCCAGATTGCATTAGTGGTCCATGGTTCATGAATGAATTGAACAAACTTCTTGCCGTTGAACTTTGACAGCCTTTGCGCATTGAAGACAAAGTTCGGACCTACTTGTGGATCTTGAAGTAAATTGGTGACCCAGTCCCACAGTGAATGATGAAATAGCAAAAATGTTTGATCAACACCTCGGAAGGGCACAATCACTTCCTCCTTTGTAAACTATTATATGACAGAAGCAAAAATAAGCATAGTATATACAAAGTTAGTGAATAGTACACACAGGTGTCATCTTGAATGACGCTGTGTCCCATGTGTCTCTTACATCTTTGCAATTCTTGAGGGTAAAGAGCTCAATCCTGCTGCGATGGATGAGGTGAATGAGCCCATCCAGCTGCTCATGAGAGAGTCCAGCATCATGAGCAAGTTCCGCAACCTCAAAGTCAATACAAGTGCGAAACGGCTGCCAGGGTGTAGGATCTGCTTCTGGAACTACTGGTGGGGCACCAGGACCATGTCCATAGTCCTCAAAGTGGTACACTTTGGTGGGTCTACCACTATTGGGGTGGTATTCCACTTTGATATTGTCAATGTTGTGCTGGGGTGCAGGTGATGCTGTTCCAGATGATGGTGGGTCACCTGTATTGATGTAAGTTGAAAACATGATGATACAAAGAAATGACAAAGACATACCATTTGAATCGGTCCGCCCCATATCAACATCATGTTGGTAGTCCATCTGATTATTGGGATAAAAATCATCATCCTCCGAGTGATTGTTGATAGCTTGCATCAATCCCCAACAAGTCAGTATTAGTGATTGAGGACAAATGAAAGTGATGGCTTACAAAGTGTTGAACTACTGATGGATGGATGTCTGCCAACAAACACACTACCCTGATGTGCCTGTTCTCGCTCTACAATTAATTAACATTAGTGTAAAATCAAAATGATGCTAGTATAGACATCCCTTGATGAATGGCCCTAGCAAGCTCTAAATTCTCTCTCCTTTGTTCAGAGCACCTCTGGCAAGCTTTTTCGTGTGCTCGGAATCCTTGGCGATGAAAGGATCCGCCACAATAATCACAGGATCATTGCAAATCAGTAGGCATCTATATTGAAACAGGGACAAAGCAGGGGGTGCGGCACTTTGATGGAGAAGTGCTGGAGGGTGAAGTTAGGTATATAAAGCTTGCAGAATCTGAAATATGTAAGTGAATCAGCGGACCAGTAACATTTAAAAGGCACAGATCTGTCAACAAATTAGAACTGTAACAAGTAGAGCAGAAGATACCAACAAGGGCTGAAGTTGTTGATGAAGGGGTGTTAAGAGGTTGGTGCGGCATCTGAACTGACAGTTGGCTACAGTGTTGTAATTAACGTATCATCAAGGTCTAGGTCCAGCATCAATACCAGGACCTATTAAAATAGGGACTGGTTTAGCAAATGTACTTGGTCATCAACACCTGAAAACAGGCTGACAAAAGGACTGGATGAGACTGAGGTGAAAGGGTTGGATAATAGAAGGGGTGAGGTATGATATTCCCTAGTTGAGGGATGCGGATAATACTAGGACTTCCCAACCAGGTTGAACTGTTCTACACTGAGTTAAAAGAAAAGGTAGACCAGGGCAATATTACGAATCAGTTTCAATTGAGTTTCAATGATGCAACTTTGGTATAAACACACACCTGCCCCGCCTTTGGCACAGATCACCAAAAAAGAGTGCTTTGTACTCTTTTTAAGCTCCCTGGCCTCAGCTTCATCCTAATAATTCTGAAGGCTCCTGATGGGCATTGGCTGCATCCTAATAAATTGTGTATTTTGAATAATTTTGAAAATACATTTATGATCATTTCAAAAAAAAAACTAAAAGTCAAATCTACCACACCATGTAAAAGTACATAGTACATAAGATCAGTCAGTTCTACATTCTTTGAGTGGGATTTTGACAAAAGTAAAATTACAAAATATGTAACAGTATTATTGAATGCATTTATTTTCCCACTTTTCCTGCTTCCCGTCTCCCGTCTCCCGTCTCCCGTCTCCCGTCTCCCGTCTCCCGTCTCCCGTCTCCCGTCTCCCGTCTCCCGTCTCCCGTCTCCCGTCTCCCGTCTCCCGTCTCCCGTCTCCCGTCTCCCGTCTCCCGTCTCCCGTCTCCCGTCTCCCGTCTCCCGTCTCCCATCCTCCCAGTTTCCTGTTCCCAATTTTCTGTCCTCCCATTCTCCAGCTTTGTTTCCTTTTGATTTATTTCTTCACAACCTTTTGTCATTCATTTCCCATCACCACATATATGTGTTGTCTCCCTGTCTGCAAGATTGTATCATATGTTGTTCCATTTTCAGTTTTATTATTTATTGTATGTATGTACCATAAACAATTACAACAGTGTGTCGAGTAGTGCGCAGGTAGCGGCGATTGAGTTGGCGCTCGAAAACACGTGACAAAGCCACGTGAGCTTCCAAAAAGAGGTTTAAGCGAGGTAAGCGAAAACCATGTGGCCTTAGGCGAATCTAAGTGTATCTAAGTGTATCTAGGCGAAAATCACATGGCCCTACGCAAAAACCACGTGGGTGCCCGTGTGTTTCCGAAACTGTTCTCCCTTTCTTCTTAAGATATCCCTATTGAGTTTCAATGATGCAATTTTGGTATAAATATCCCTAATGGGTTTTAAGAATAGAACTCATGTGTCGATATCGTGACTCAGTATCAATACAGTTGAAACCGAGTTTCACAGGCACGCTGTTGCAACCGACTTATGACATTTCTGACAAATGTTCCTGTATTTTATGTCTGTCAGAGGCACTATGGTGCAGTGGTAACTATCTCTTGTTACTTCCCTCGTGGTATTCCAAGTTCAGTTCCTGCCTTAGGCATTTTAAAATGCCACAAATGCCACTTTGTTTTGGTTTATTTACTACGTTGCTGGCACATTTTGCACAGAACAATGTAGTTTGCTGATGATTGTGATGATCTAACTACTTAAAGGTCTCTTCCCTCCTTCATTGTTCAAGACAACTTTCAAAGCCACATGTCTAGTTCATTCTCTATGTAGGAATGTGATAGACCTGCACGCGATCTCTGAGTTTGAGAGGAAGAAAAACTAGCGATCAACGACATACATTACACAATACATACTTTGGGTCGTGCTGAAAATTGAAATATCATACTGCGAGGTATAGAAGGATATTCACAGAGGTTTCTCATTCCGAGTCGACCTCAGGATACCTATGCATGACGTGCCTGAGCTCCATGTCTGGAACTCTCGGTGTAAACACGATAGGGCAAGAGGCACGTGGTGACACCAGACCCATGAAGCCCATGTCATTTAATGGCTTCGTATGATCTAGAGTGAGCTGGAAGGCCCAAAACAGAAGGATCGAGTTGATCCACACCAATCTGCACCGCTCGAAATGAGCTCAAAGGATTATGTACATGAAAGGATACATTCACCTGTTCACAAGGTGTATGCCGGGGCATACGCTGGGGTAACAGACAATCAAATAGAATATCTCGAAAGATGACCCTGCTTACCGCCGACCAACCCATAAACACAAAATTTGGAGGTACTATCTTCCACCCCTTGCAACCAGTCCGAAAGAACAGATGTCAAACCGCCAGGGAAATGAATATATAGTTTATTTCGAGAAATGGGACCATAAGGACATAGAACATACACAGTAGGGGCACATCGGACAGTCCGCAGACAGTGAAACAAAGTGTTTGTAGGATGGTAGGAACCAGTAAAAAGTTATCATGAACACTAGTTCCGTAACTGCTGTGGTTAGACCCTCATAAGGACCACACACTCGAAGCAAAGAGACCACACAAAGATGCCTGGAGATATTTCCTGCAGAATCCATGCTCTGAGGAATGAGAGGCAGAGCGAGTATGCATGACTTGTGAGGCTTCCAATACTTTCCATGACATCGTTGATTGAGACCGAGCTGGAACAGCCTTGGAACCAAGGATTGCCTTGGTTCGACAGACCTGAGCTGGAACAACAAAAGGGGAAAGGATAGCAAAAACGACTATGAGTTTGTCACTCGTTGAAGCACGAGTTTCAGCGACATAATCATCATGTGCCGAACCCACTCTGGAGAACCAGAGAGGTGCAGTGACTGTAACATAGCTTTGTCCTTAGCATCATCAGCTGACATGTCCTTGAACTCGATGCGGTCCCACAGAACGAAGGCATCATCCCACTGGACATGGATACAAGCATCTGTGCCAATAAAGCCTCTAAAATTCGTGAAGCTGACCGCGCGCGTTGGGTGAGAGGATTCGTTCCCTTCTTGAGTAAATCAAGAAAATTCAAGGCTAAGCCACCTCATGTCAGACAACTAAACATTTTTAACATCTCAACTGACCTTCAAGGGGTACAATAACGATTTCATCACGTCCATCTCTGCACCATTTCTTCACCTGGTGGAGGGCGTGTACTAATACGCTCGCATTGACCACTACTATATCTGCATCCTTGTCACCCCTGACCTCCTGGCTCGATTTCCTGGGCTTTTGCACCTTGGCTTCACTGTGCTCTCTTTCAGGTACAGCTTCAGCGACAGACTTCTTCGCAGACCTATTGCCTGAAGATGGGCGCTGCTTGGGTGTATGATTGATAACACTGCGACGGTTGGTATTACCCAAGTCGGCTTGCGGATGACAATGATCTCTCCAGTTTCCAGATGCTGGTCCACGTGTACCGATCCGGGTGCGCCAGTGGCTGCATCAAGCTAAGGTTCATCAATGTCGCGTCACATGTGTGTCATGCCGCATCAAGATAGCTACTTACTCAGCATATGCTATTCTACAGTTAATTCGATTGGTCTGCCTAGGGAAGACTTTTCTTCTACTACCATGAGCGCGTCTCTGAACGCTCAACCAGGTATGAGCTCGAAAACAAAACCACATGTCATCATCATGATCAGGATGGCGGGGGCTGGCTAGTGATGGCCAGGTCCGGTTCTGAACCGCGGTTCGAACCTGAACCGTTTTGAACCTGACCAAAGTCCGGTTCAAGGTTCGGGCAATAGGGAAGACCGAACTGTTGGTCCGGTCCGTGGTTTGGGGACTTGCAGAATTGCAGAACCAGTTCTGAACCTGTTCAAACCGATGGCAAGTCAGTATGTAGTTTTAGTGTAGTACTTATAGGCAGAGATGATGAAATGTTTGGTATCCATATCGTACATAATGCGAAAAGAACAGTTCAGAATGCATCAGCATAAACAAGGGTAGAATCACCAGTAACTGTATCATGGGCACTGGATGAGCTGTGGTGGCGGTGGAATAAATGCCTGAGAAGTGTGCTTCTTTGCGGTTCTGAGGAGTGGGAGGTGGATGTTGTTGGACCTGGAGGTCGTGTAGCATTAGCCTAGTGTATGTATGTTAAGCCCAACAAGATCTTTGAATGAAGGTGTTACATACATGGAGTGCAGATTTGTTGGCCTGGCATTGCAAGTCATCGCACCAAAATTGGATTGGGGCTTATAGGATCGATTGCTATGACATTGTTTAGATGTGTGCATGCAGACAACTCATGGGTCTGACCGGTGCTGCACTGCGCACCAACGTTGGGCCAAGAGTGACAAAGTGATGTTGTGGGGGAGATATGTTAGCCTTGAACGGTGCACATAGCCGTTCATTTGGTTTGGTTTTGGGGTTCAAGTTCACGATGCCAGCACACTGAAGGAAAGCTATAAAAAGTCTTTGCATTGTCAATGAACAGGCAACAAAAGCTACACTGATAAACCCCCAAAGACATTGAAAGCACCAATCTATCCAGCAGCGCAATATCATGTACACCGTGAGCCTTGCTTCTTCCACTGCATCATCAGTATAGTTATCTTGACCTTCGTTCACAGGTCACTGAAGTCCCTGTTTCTCAGCACTGCGGCTCAAACAGCTGCAGAGGTGGCAGCTCGTGAGTCGCGCGGTGATTGTACTCCTGTACGACGCCTGGGTCTGATTCAGAACATGCAGGTGCCAATGCAAGCCAGGAGAGTGCAAGTGCTGAGCACGAGTACTAAGTGAGTTAGCATTTAGTAAGATAGGGCTCTTGCACAAACCACCAACATTACGTGATAAAGAGTGACTCTGGCGTGATTTTGGAGTATAAAGTTAATGCCACTCGTAAATCTTGATTTTTGGAAAATATATTTGTGCAGTGTTCTGCGGATTTGTATTTTAGACAACCCTGCGCAGCTGGATTTTTTGAAAACTTGAATTTGTGAGTGGCATTAAGAAAATGAAATGTTATGAGCTACGGAATGTAGGTTGTATGCGTGACATGCAGGGGAACTACAAAAATGGTATACCATTCATTCTGCAACTCTTCCAGGCGCAAAAATGCCCCAAAGCAAGGCAGGCCACCTGAGTAATCTTCATGGACATGCTGAAATAAACACTAAGAGGACCAGGGTCAGCAAAGCACAGAAAGAAGAGAACGAGACAGCCGGAATCTGACATTTTAGACTATTTGTTTTTGATCATTGTTCACTATGTAATCAGCAATACATTTTACCTTTCATTGCATACACTAGTATCTGATGGCATAGTTCATACTGTATGGATGTTACACTACATAGCACTCCGAGATTTGGTCGCCACCGCTTAGAGGTCACATCAGGTAACAGTCAGTCACAATGTGTCACACATTAGTGGTTTGTGCATGAGCCCTATCTTATTATATGATGCATCTGTTGTTGGGTGTGTTTCAATATAATTTTTCTTGAAGAAATTTCTATTAGTTTGGATGGTCCGGTTCTCGGTTCGAACCCTCACTGAACCAGAACCGGACCATTTTCGGACCAAACCGATGGTCCGGTCCACGGTTCTCCTAATTTCCTGGAGAACCGGACCGAACCAGACTTTTCCATCACTAGGGCTGGCAAGTCCACCTTCGTGCAGCGCATTACCTCCTACCTCCACTCGCAAAATCCTCAACAACCGCCATACATCCTAAACCTTGACCCAGCGGTTACTCATGTGCCATTTGAGGCCAACATTGATATCCGGGATACTGTAAACTACAAAGAAGTCATGAAACAGTGCGTGCTGTCTCCATTTGAACGGGAGTGCACGAATAACTGAATGGATCAAAGGTATAACCTAGGACCGAACGGTGGCATTTTGACTGCCTTGAATCTTTTTACGACGAAATTTGACCAGGTTCTGGAGTTGATCGAGAAACGGGCTGAGACAGTCGAGTATGTGCTTGTCATTTTTATTTTGTATTCGCTCTTACATGCGCTCACGTAGTCACATAATTCTTGACACTCCGGGGCAAATTGAGAGTTTTACTTGGTCAGCATCTGGTGCTATCATCACGAATGCCGTTGCTTCCTCGTTTCCCACTGTGGTGGCATACATCATCGACACCCCACGGACGACAGCTCCAGTGACATTCATGTCTAACATGCTGTATGCCTGCAGGTGAGTACTGCGTGGTCTAGCGGCTTACTGATCCATGACGCTTTATTAGTATTATGTACAAGACAAAATTACCATTCATCCTGGTCTTTAACAAGACGGACACACTAGGCATTTCAAGTTGCTCTTGCGTCCCATTTAGGATTGAGGGACTCTGAAGGTGGACCGACTTATATGAACAGTTTGATGAATAGCATGAGTCTCGTTTTGGACGAATTCTACAAACACCTCAAGGTAATTATATTTCATCATGCTGTAGAATGCATAGCTGACTATTACAGGCTGTCGGCGTCTCAAGTACAACAGGTGCCGGTATCAAGGAATTTTTCGATGCGGTGGAGGAGTCTCGTGAAACATATAGGACGTACGTTTTATCTTCATTGTTCTCCTTGCTTTTTCTACGTCTTCAGTGAATATCTCCCAGAACTTGAACGCGCCCGCGCGGCACGGGAAAACTCACTGCAGGATATAAAAGAGGACTCAATAAATCGCCTGATGAAAGATCTTGCCGTTGATCGTGCAGCAAATCCCAAGGCAGCCGCAGAAGACCGCTGGGCGTCGGACGAGGAAGATGTCGATGATGACGACGAGCTGGAAGTCAACCTGATCGATCGGAGTGAGTGACTTGCCAGTCCTTTCATTCGACTTCTGAAACAGTTTTACTAGGTGAAGAACCATATCCTGGCCAATACATCGACGTCACGCGTATGCGAGGACACAGTGAGAACATAAACTGGCCGAACCCGGGATGAAATTTGTCATCGGATACGCGTTCCATTCAACGTTGACATAATGTACCCTACCATTGGTAACTTGAAGTAGAAGGAGAACTCCGTGATATTTACATTACTAAGTACTGTCAATTTCGTGCACAGCACTGATAAGCGCATTATCAAATAAACGTGTCAACATTACAACAGGCAAGATGAAAGATTTGTGTGATAACATGATAGCTCACCCACTTCGATTGCACGAGTTGTTCGCGACATGATGATCTTGTGACAATTGTCGCATTGCCGCATCTTCATTACTCTCGTTTATAGCTGAAACACCTCTTCCTTGATGAGTGTCGCCTCTCCACCGAGTGATTCCGCCGGTGAATGGAGTCTGCGTGGCAAGAGCATTAATAAATTAAATGGTACCCTGCGCTCACCATGAATTTTATAGCGCTGCAGTGAAGCGATGACGATGGTGTCACAGGAAAAATCTGAGTTCATGGGAAGGTGACTCTATTGTTAAGCTTGACAACCAAGTGGCAGTGACCATGAATGCTTGCTGATATTATTCCAGCACTCGAGAGCTCCGGTCCGACGGTGCTCCTTTGGAACAAACCGTCTCTGCCGATGTGCAGTGAGCGATGGAAAAGTGTGAGCGCCTTCATAGCAAGTACGAAAGATAGTAGAATTTAGAATTAAACACTGAGGCCTGGGGACCCAGGTTGATGGAATATGTAGTACTTACATACATTAATATTGTCAAGCAGGAAATAATACGGTTGTTGCAATGAATATTTCGCGGTGAGAGTGACAGCAGTCGCCCAAAACACGTCTTGTGTAGTTCGGTGAGGAAACCCTGCAGTACTATGAATGGCGTGAAACTGCCGTAATTGGTCGTGAACATTATACTACCGCTTTTGGATGTGTGGGATAGGATTTTAATGAGTGACGGTGTACAGTTGCGGACAAGCAAAGTCCGCAAATTTTATGGGGCCTGTTGGTGATTTTTTCAGGCCAAACTGAAGCCGGATCCAAACTCAGGCAGTGAAAATACGTCTAAAAACACTGCTCTCGTATTTTTCCCACGAGATTTTTGGCGCGCCAAATTTTTGAGCAATTTGAACAATGTTGTGTACCCCTTTTGGGGGTCTGAGAGTGATCCAAGGTACCCCTCTGCACCAGAATTTGGTCAAAATCATTTGTGTAAAACTTAATTCACCTCTTTGTAATCGAAAGTAAGTCATAAAGAGTAATAATTCCAACATTTTTGGGAATACTGGAGGCAATTACATCAATACTTGCCAATTTTTAGCACTGAAATGCCTTGAGATTCTGTAGATATTTTGACAGAATCATGTATAGGACATTAAAAGGAAGCGATTGGCATATTTTTCGTAAATTTAGCGATTTTTTTGGGGGTACGCCAAATTTTTGGCCTCCAAAACCCTCATATGGCAGTTTTTTTAAAATCTGCTTGTGCAAATCAGTTGCTTTGGTCCCCTATGAGTAGATTCTGCACTAAAAATGGGTTTCCGGTTATTTGTGGCAACAGGAAAAATCAATCTTTGGCGGTGTCCAAAATTGGTGGTGTTTGCTTGTCCGCAACTGTAGATACAGATGGCCAGGTTTTCGTTCGGCCACTGCCGGCGGAGTTTGATTTATATAGTCAGTCAATATATAAACCGCTCATCTTGAAACCTGTGAAGCTTTTCGACTTAACAACTTCGCAACTGAGTATGCAGGCAATAGCTGTAATGTAGTTGACTA